CCCCCCCCCCCCCCCCGCACCGATGACATTTATGTCCAAAGGCTGCTGGTGAACTTCGACTGCACAGCCATGTGGGTGAAACAGAGCGCGTACCTCGTTGATGCGCTCTCCGTCACTCCAGAGATCTTGCGGTCTAAGGAGTACAACTCGAACCAGGTCTCCGACTTCAGAGATTGGCAGGTGTGCGATCGTGTTTTTCTACCTATGCTCTGGGCAGTATGTTATGTCCCAGAAAATAAATATGTAGTTCTCCACACGATGTTCTTCAAATGTGTGTCGTCGTTCGCGTGATTGTGTTCATAGTGTAAGGGGCAACCGTTGAGGAGGCAGGTTTGGCGGAGGGGGGACTTCGGGTCATACAGAAGGAGAGAGAGGGAGAGAGTTAAGCGAAGAGAGGCATGTGCATGTTTTTGTCCTCCATTTCTTTCTGAACCTCAGTTTTTCATTCTTTGGATGTAACTTTTTTGGACGCCTAAGAGCCGGGTCACACAGGAGGAAGGCCGCACAGGAGTTTATCTTCTTGCACATGCATACGGCAGAGAGGAAAGAGACGGCAGACGGCTCGTACACTGAGTCTGACCAACTCACGTGTCGCGGTCGGGGTTCTGACTGGTGGGTCAATGAGCTACCGCGGTGTGTCATCTGCCAATCGCAGCCTGATGGGGTCTACTGCAACAGCCTACCGCAACCTGACCGGGTCAAACCGTTGCCTCCTTCCTTGTCCAAGGTGCCACTAGGGCGAAAGTTTCGGTCCCTCAAGATCTGGCTCACGATGCGCGCCTTTGGCCTAGAGAAGGTTAGGGGCCTCATCCGCCGCCACACGCAGCTCGCCGGAGAGTTCGAGACCATGGTCGAACAGGACGACAGGTAAGGCAAAATTCGACGCTCTCATCTTTTGGTCGGTTCGCTGATCGCCGTGGTTCGGCTACAATGTATTTAGTTTGATGTCGATTGCACTTCTCGGGCAGAGAGAGGCCTTGGGAAGAAACCGTTCCCGACCCCTTCTTTTTTCTGATGTTTTTTTCTATCGGATCGAGTCTGTGTCTCGTGACCGAATCTGCCATGCTTCGTGTCGTTGTTCAAATGTTTTCCAAAAACGCCCGGATGAATGGAAGATGGAAATGCCAAAACAGCCGCAGCAGCAGCAGACAACAAGAACCGGTGCATACATGTATTGTTTTGTATTCCCTGATTTCTCATACATACCACCTCTGTCAGTCGGCCGTTGACCGACGGGGCACATCGAGGGCATGATAATGCCAGGTTTGATCGAGCAAGGCCGGCCGAAGCGTGCACCCGTCCTACGTTTCGGAATACACCCCTACAGGAATAAGTGCCCTCTTGTTTGCTTGATAGTCAACTTTTGAGGCCCCCTCCACCGTGAGATGGTTTCGCATTTAGGAAGGAGAGCCGTGCTTCCTCCCCGGTCGCGCAAGTGCGGCGGGTATGGGTGCTCGCGCGAGCGTGGTGCGCTTCACTTGTTGGCCACTATGTACCAAACTGCGGCGCTGCGCATTTGTTCCTTGTCGCTCCCTCCCCCGGCGGCACAAATGCAATACGCTCCGAGGAAACTGTTCTGCATCTCAAGTACGGGTTGGAACTGCTGTATCCCCTACATCGTATGAGTCGGGAAAGTAGCGAGCACCCCCCCCCCCCCCCCCCCCCCCCCCCCCCCCCCCCCCCCCCCCCCCCCCCCCCCCCCCCCCCCCCCCCCCCC